GGTGTGGTGGTGGGGGGTGATGGGTGGGTTGGGGGTGATGGGTGGTGAATTTCAATAGTTTGAGGTGACGTTGGGTGGTTGTTAATTGTGGGTTTAATTTGTGTTGGGTGATAAATTTTTTGTATAATACTAAACATGTTTTTTTTTTTGTTTTCACAATTTTTTAAATATAAATAACTATTAAACATGTTTTATATTTTTAAATTTTATCACAAAAAAATAAAAATTAATTTTATTTTTAAAAAAAAAAAACATAAAAACGAAACGTTACCAAACACTCTTTTAATATTTTCCACAGTTGCACATTACCAATTATATGAGGTTGTGTTAAGTACAGTCGTAGATTCATGCCATCAGCATTGCAATTTGAAGTAAATATTCAGTACCACTATTATGCTCTGGCCTGACCAAAATTTCTTACCAAAATTTTCTTCTTTTAAGTGATGTGACACAATGTTCAAAATTAGATAAATAGGTTGAAAAAGATTTGGCCACATCAAACTTGGTAAACATAACATTACTAAATATTTAATGTAATAGTGACACCATGTTATCAATGTCACATAGTGCCACCATTCAATTTAAAAAAAACAAGTAGAAAAAGTAAATCCCACTATTTTTATACCTACCTGTAACCTCCACATCTAGTCATCAATACATAGGATTAGTAAAATTTACTTTATCTACTTATCATTTTGCCATTGAATTGTGACACTACGCGACGGTAATGATGCAATGACATCGTTCCATTGAATATTTTCTCCTCTACTTCACTGTGGATAAAAAGGGCAACAATAATCCCGGTCCAAGTAGATTAGATGGTTCATAGTTGGCTGCCCGGATACATTCCACATGTTGTCCACAAATAACAAGTTCAGTTCAAGAGCAAATCATCCTTCAATCTAAACTGAAAGAGGTCATGACATTCAACATTATGAGAGTTTGCAATGAACAACCCCCCCTGTTAAGCACATTTTGGTTCTGAGAACAGTGAAATTATGGCACCCTAATCCAAGTTAGAGAGGCAAACAAGACTACATTTCATTCATCTCAGCCCCCGGAATTTAAATTTGTTTTCTCTGTGCTGATTAAAAACAGGACACAGACCGAAAGAGTGAAAAAGGGAACTTTATTATCCTGTTCGAGATGTAGATTTTCTAAGGCAACTATCAAACTTGTTCAATATTTAGGCATTATTAACATGACAAAAGGTTATGTTGAACAATCCCATCCAGAACAAAGCCCAGTGTCCATGTAATATGCATACCCCTAAGGCTGGGAAGAGGGTGCAGTTCCAAAACCTCAAATTGAAGGATCCATAAAGGCTGGGAAAAAAATAGAACCGAAAGATGAACAATTCATACAATTTCAAGCTGAAAATTTGTACTTTATTGCTTCTCAGGAAACAGGTAAGAAGTCAATGAGCATTAACATGCCATAAGAATTCCAAAATTGCATCACTCTCATATGTTAGACTAAGAAAATTTTCTCAACAGCTATTTTACAACAGGCCCAATACAGAAGAATTTAGATGGGGGACAAAAAAGCAAACACATTTACAGAGCTATTATAAATAATGATCAATGGAATAAAAAATACATAAGAGACACATTCCAGGCACCCTTTATTGATGCCCGCAATAAGAGAATCCTATGTTGATGCCCCCCAAAAATGGAGTCCACATTAGTGATCCAGTCTACCGCTTTCACATCTTCATTTGCCAATCCACTAAAAGTACAGCAACAAAAGCCTGTCTCATTGCAGCCAAGCGACAAAACATCATTGGAAATCTCATCCCATACGAGGATTCTATATACTTTCAGTTTAATGCATGTCATTAACTGCTCCCACATGAAAAAGGAAACTATTTCATACAAGCAAACATCATAAGGAACAATAAAAAAACTAACTCAAAATGCTCAAGGGTAACTTGACATGTAATTTTTAACTTGCAACAATTATAATAAAAATAACACTAGTTGTTCATAAAATTGAACTCTCATTTATGTAGGTGGTCATTATGTACAAATAAAAAATGGAAAAGAATTTTTATCAATCAAATTATCTCTATTAGTCAAGTCTGTGAACAGGGATATCCTAATTATTCAACCGTGTTAGGTACAGAAGTTCATTATCACTTAATAAAGATAAGGAACGGACTCTGTTTTTTGAGTGTGCATGTTAAAATCACCTATAGAGATGATGGAAATGCATCACTTAGAAATACTAAAAAAACACAAAACATGATATACAGACCCTTTTACAATAGGAGATTGATAGACCACTAAAAAAAGGAGATAGGTTATAGTACCTGAAGATGGTCCAATATCCTGATTTGAAACTTCATGAAAAGTTGGACAATTTAATGGATCAAGTTACTCGATAGAGTATCCCCGACATCTTGTGCTCTGGCTAATTAAAAGGGAAGCCATTTTTCCTAAATCTTCACCCGAATGTTAAGCTCCACAAATCCACCAGGTGTCGAATTCAGTCAGCAATTCATTACAAAAATGTACAATGTCCTCATGGAGGTATGAGCAATGCATATGTTGATATGCCTCTCACTGCAAAACTCCACAGGCAGGAATTAATGGATGTTCATGGTATTACACAAAGAAGCAAGCAAGTATGATGCAGTATCCCAGCACCTCATACTCTTTGCTTGGACTCAAAATTTTGGTTGAACCGGAGGTTTTTCTTTATCAGAATCCAAACCTTATAATGCATGCTTACAAATTAAGCATCATCCACGTTGTGATTCACAGTTCACCCAGGGAATCCTCACACCAAAGCATGTGATTATAAATGCCAATGAGAATCATCACGTTTCTTGGAATGGCAGCATCTCCTCCTTACAGATCATTTCCACATCATTCATTTGCCAGCTGAATTAAGCCACGGATCTGTAGGTAGGGATTCTCCAACAGCTTTTCGTTGTTACTCTGCACAACAGGAGCACATACCACTGGGTGTTAGTTACATGTTATTCTACTACATGATAGATGATAAAGGTTTTTCAGATAGGAATATGATAAATGATAATGTTTAGTGCAGATTGCAGAAAAATAAGAGGCGAAATCTTAAAAGAAGTAATACAATGATGAAGAAAATAAAATATATGTAGGCATCGGATTAACCCAACTAGTCTCCTTACCATAAAATAAAGATAAACAAGTAATTTGACTCAACAGTTAGCAGTTCAATGATTGGTTTGCTAACGGAAAAACTAGCAGCAGAAATTAGAAGGTAGTTACCACCATTAAGGATAAGAACAAGGAAACATAACTAAGTTTTAACTTGCAGGCAAGAGAGTCACGCTATTGATACTGACAGCCTACCAAAAACTCCATCAATTTGCGAATGGATTGCATATCTAATAGAAGAACTCCAGAAAATATTGGAGGATAGTCAGAACTGCAATGGCCTACCAGAAGAAAACTTAGTACGAATTCCCAATTTTAGGTTTCAATTTCCAGACATGTGAATGTCAAATTACGATTGGGAATCTGCAAAAAAAACTATCAGAGAAGTCATATTTGAGTTATAACCCCTGCCCAGAGCATAGGTGGCCAGATCAGACATGATGCCATCAGAAGAAGCCAACACAAGAAGTTTAGTCTAGGTTATAAGGATTCAGCAGCACACAGATGTTTCTATATCCATTTACGATACGTATGACAATAAGCAATAAAAGACCAATATATATGAGTCCAAATGACAATTATGCTAGTCGAACTCCTTGGGAGTTGCTGTAGTGCTCAAGTACTCTTGATTTGCTCACCCTGCTTAAGATTATATAAATAAAAACGTATCATGCCATTCCACTTCTCTCTAGAGTAATGCTGCTATTCAGTGCCTCAACACACAACTCTTGCCAATAATCAACCATTCAAACTGTAAATATATTTATTAAGACAATAATACATGAATAATTCAATAAAAATTTAGGATATGAAGGATGCAAAAAGCTTCTTTAACCAAACCATTAAATGGGGCCGTACCTGCTGAGCTCTTGAAACAAGACTATGTAACATGCGCTGGTAACTTTCCGATTCTTCTGTCATCATTCTCTGCAAAATTCCAAACTTCATATTCATTTGATCATTTGAAATGCCTGTAGCTTAGTAAAAAAATTCAACGACACTGGTCTAGGTAAAATGGTAGGATTCTTGCCTTCAAAAGAAAAGTAGAAGAGTGATATGCCACCCTTGAGTCGGTATCATCTAACAGCTCCCTACCAGAGACCCATGAATGTAAGCTGTTTATAAAATCCTCGTATAAATAGAAGAAAACATTATCCAGAGAGCACAGAACTGCAAAATTACCTAAAGAACTCTTCTCCACCAACTTCTTGAAAAGCAGCAGGATCTGCAGTGCATTTACCAATCAAAAGCAAAAGAAGGGTTGCTCGTATGTCTGATGTAGCACCAGGTAGGTTTCCTCTTCCTTTGCTGCCAACAGAAACACCTAATGCAATATTGTCTGTAGCCGCACCAGCAAGTTGAATCAAGGGCCAATAAAACAAAGCAGCAGGAACACGTGCAACCAATTGCATGGGAACAATGGCCTGGCCTCGAAGTAGTAATGCTGCCATGGATGCGGTCTCGAAGCCTGGATTATCGCCGTTCCCAAATTTATTATTATCTTCCATGGATTCCTCCCAGCAATTTTCTTTTAGAGGTTGATGATCTCCAGCATCAACCTTTTTATTCCAATCTGAGCAATTAAAACTTTTATCATCATGCATTGCATCTCGAAATGGCATTGCAGTTGCAGGGAGAACTTTCAGGCACAATTGAGAAAATAGAACATCACACATCTGTTAATTGCAGCAAAGAAAAATAAGATAGTGATGAGAATATAGAAGCTCAAAAAAATTTAAAAAAAATATCTTTCTTTCTAACAATTTGCATGACAGAATTTCCATTCATCGGGAAGAATATGTATAGTATCCAGGTGATATATGATTTATTGCCAAATTAGAACAATTATTTCCATAATATTGAAACAATCAGGTTTGTCAACATCTTCAATCGACTCACCAACTACTTAATTAGAAGAATAAAAAGGGAATCAGATGAGATCTAAAAATCTCGACGCTATATCCCATTTTTTTTTTTTGAGGACTTGTTGCTATAGTCAACCACATTGGCAACAGTCCTTGGAATTAAAATCAACAACAGATGACGTAAGTATAAGGCAGAATGTAAAATTTGACAAAGCCTAAGGCAACCTGAATACCAAATGGTGGGACGGTCACCAACAAGATATTTAACAGCCTTGGAAAAATTGTCATGAGTAAGATATATGAATGATTTGAAGAAATGCGTATTTGACCTGTCAAACAATTTATCTACTTCGTAAAGGAATGCAAATTCTAAAATTGAAGTGTGTACATAAGATCATTGATTTTATAATTTCCAAGCCCATAAATCACACTTGAGGGTTTGGTGACACAAATAGTCTTGCCAGTAGATGGGGCCTTCACAACTGTGTATCACCGACTAGTGACCCAATGAGATCCATAAAAATTACCTTCAAGATATTCATGCGGTCAGTTTCATTTATCTGAGCCACCAAAGACAATGCACTGCTCATAATGTCTATCACTGCATTCGCTTTTTCAAGACGACTCTCGTCATGAAAATGTCCAACACCTTCGGTGCTGTTTGAATGCTGGAGTTCATTCTCATCTAACAAAAACTTGCATCGCATAAGAAGCCTCTCTAGAACAAACAGAAAGCCCCATCTGATGAGGTTATTCTTTGATTTCAGAAGCCCACACATAAGCCAAATAGGAAGTGGAACATCCAAAGCAGCTGAATAATCATTAATTCCAGCAAGGACAATTTTCTGCTGTAATTTTCTGATATTTGACCATATACTTGCGCCCCTTTCCTCGCTAATTTGTGTTATAAGCAAATCACCCAACCATACATACCCATTCTGACGATGAGCAGCTCTTTCAGAATGAAGAAGCGAGTGTAAAGTGGCCCATGAAAGTTTTGCTTTCATGCTAACACTGTTTCCCACAATTCCATCCTCAATGCTTTCTATGGACATGTAAGATTTAGTAGTCTGTCTCATATAGGTGAACTCTTTATCCAGATGAGTAAATGCTCTTGTTAGTGTATCAAACTTCTCCACAATCTTCTCCAAGAGCTGCAACAATAGATAATATAAGACTGCAGCAATATTTAAGGACAACAATGATACACTAAATTTCCATAGTACAGATCTAAGCGATTGGTATGTTTCTGCTTCAAAAGGGACACGAAGGAAGGTTCTAAAGCTGTCTCTGCAAAACTTTATGAGGACTAGAAAAGCAACACATGCAATTCAACTAAAAAAGCCAAAGCAGTAAGCAAAAGAGATATTCCCAAATATCTTTCAGTGCCGTTGTGTGACTGACCAAAGCTGCAATGCATAAGCAAAATGGAACACAAAATAACAATCTCACAGTTCTTTACCACATATAGGCCTGTAATGGGTCTACTTTGTTCATCAGATTAGGTCCAATATGAACTAATTACACGTAAGGCGAGGGGAACTCAAATTTTAATATTGACTAATACACATTTAGGTGCAGAACTAGGTACATTCAACTCAAGTGAAACCTATAACTCACTCCATTTGGGCCCCAAGAGTAAAAGTAAATTATGCACATATTAACCTCTTCATCTATTGGAGACAGACAACCTTGTCCCAATTTTTCAGTAAATCGTAATTAGGCTTTAAGTTAAAACTCATTAGAAATGCAGGAATCCTCAGTCAATTATTTATGGTTTTCTTTGGAAAATTGTTGTATTAAATCAAATGGTTGGCGTCATTCCCACAAGGAATGGTAGCCATAACAGCACATCCCAACCATCCATCTGACCACCATTTCTTATTCCATCATCCATTGCAACCAGTTCTAACGAATAGTAAAACAATCTAAATAACATGAGGTAACCATTGATCATAGTTAAAACATCCAACTCAAAACCAATTGACAATATTAGTTTGAGAGGCATTTATTTTACCGAGGCAGACAACCTCTAACAAAACCACCAACCTCTAACAAAACCACCATCGGAGAAGCCATATTTGAGTTATAACCCCATAATAGAGGGAGGGAGCCGTCTATAAGTAACCATAATTCTGCACATTCGGGAAATTGTGTGGAACCAATTGAATTAGGAGATGTCTGAGAAACAAGTAGAGTTTCCCTCATTGCCAACACCAGAAATTAAAAACCATAGAACTCGTAAAACTTCTAGCAACTAGCGGGATCTGGTTGCATATTTCAAGTAAATGAGATTGTTGAAGAAATTTCATTCTGTTTGGGAAGCTGGTTCTTCTTCCCAGCAAGCAGAGATGGCAACAGAAGTCTTCGCAAAATCCACCAACTTGAAGAACTTGAATGACAAAATTGCCCCATATTAGNTTTGACTATGAATTATCTAAATTTTGATTAAGATTTATTAATATTATATATTTGTTGTTGAGAGTTATTTAAACAATTTTTTGTTAATATTTAAGTATTACATGACAAATTTTTGATCAAAAACTATTAACAATTTGAATGTTGTTTACTTAAGGGACTACATAGAAACATATTCAATATTTTAAAGACTAAAATGATACAATTAAAATATTAGAGACCAAAATAAAATATTCTATACTTTAGAGACCCTCTAATACAATTAACCCTACTAATTTTTGGGGGTGGTTGTACACTATCAGTTTTACTGTTATTGTCTTCTTAAATGTTGTCAAACTTATCGATTGTTTACTTGAACCACTAATCTTTATTATCCTGAATTAAGCAGGGGATCTCTAGAATATTAGAATTTAGATTAGCATTGCCTGCATTAACCAATCCCCACTAACATTTTTCGAGCGTGTTTTCCACCAACTGTTTAATTGACTGCTAAATGTTTATTTGCAGTAGTGTCGTTAATGTTTATTACTATTTCTATGGAAAAGTTAGATTGTATTTGGTAATCACAAGTTTCGGATTTTTTTTTTCAATTTTTGGGACAAATAAAAATAAAAATATATTTGATAAATGTTTTTGTTTTTACTTTTTGGTTGATCCGTTTGAAAACAATGTCAATTTTTAAAAATATCTAAAATGATGTTTTTGAAAACATATTAAAAAACAACAAAAAAAAAAGAACAGACGGAAGATAGAGTCTCATTTAACGAGGTCTTGACTTCAAATTTCATTGACAAAAAAATCTCTCTTTTTTTCTCACCCTATAAAAGACCAAAATAAAGGAAAATTTTCTCCATCTTCTTTGCAACTTCCAACCGAAGGCTCTGCCCTTTCAACGAAGAGGCTGTGCCTCTTTGTCAAAGAACTCCAACAAACTATTTAACTTTGGGGGGTGATGGATTTCGTGGGTGGGGGATGGTGGGTTTCAGAATGGTGGTTGGGTGGTTTGGGGGCGGGGGGGGATGGGTGGGTTGGGGG